AGCAAGTTCTAGAACCTCACACCACCGCGAGCCTGCAGAGGAAACTGAAGTTGGGTGTCTCACTTTCCTGGCCATGTAATGATTTTGGATCCAGCTAGCCTTAAACAAGCCCCGTACTAATAAAGATGGGAACAGTTTGGAGCATGCAGAAGTAAGCAATTCTAATATCTGCAGAGCTCCAGAACCAAATGGAGTACACAGGCTGGACATGCGTTTCATTTTTGGCAGGCAATAAGGAGATGTAACCCATCCCCATCCCATCTAACGTTATTTATGTGTGTGTTTTAATATCTACTCAAAGCCATCGTGTTTGTGTCATCACAGAAAGCCAAACATAATTAATGCTGATTCAAAAGAGACAGCAGTAGAATAACCTTTGGTGTAGTTCCTTGCCTTGTTTATGATTCGATGGACCAGGAAACAGATCAGTTTCTTTCTGTTTTGAGCTTTCTCAGCATTTTGGTATATTTTTAATGTGGCAGTATGTAATTTTCATCCTAAAAAGCAAAATACCAAACAATCCAACTCTTAATTCTAAAGCACAGAACAAGTTATTTCAGAGAACAAAGACTAAAAAGACCCTTGGGGTTGCTACTGAAACCATGCTGACAAGGTTGAGTTTCAGTTCTAGACTGATCTATGTACACAAGGCATACACCTAGCTTAAGGATCACATAGACTCCTGAATGTTATAGTCCAGTATCAACCAGCAAAGTGCTTTTCCACACCTTTGATGGTATTCCAGAAGTAAAACTATTTCTTTTCACACTAATTTAGAAATAGTCATTCACACTCTAACTGACTGACTAGTACAAACCACAGGTGATTGGAAATTATTTTTAATGGTGGGTTGCTTTTTCTTTCCCCGTGAAGGAGTCAGTTTCTATTACTCCTAAACTTGACAAAAACTTTGCTCATGAAAATCTGCACTAACCAACAGACTGCTCCACCTACCAATCTCACTGCACTCTTGCTCAAGCTCTTACAGCTGTGACAAATATCAAGTCACACAGCGCAGCTCTGACAATATTAACTTACCACTGTGACCATGAGTTTTCATTTTGCAGGCCAACAGCCCTTCGTCGGGAACCAAACACCAGCCTGGGGTCTCAGCAGCAACGTTTTTTTCTTTGGTGCATTAAACTGAGAAGTTTTAGATGCTCATCAAACCACAGAACAACGCCAAGAGCTTCAACTTACTGGATAAGAGGATCACAGCAAAGGGTTATATGATCTGTTTAACTACGTGTGGGTAACTGAAAGAGATTGTGTGGAATATCTGAAGAGAAATAATAATCTAACATGCCTTGAAACAGCAAAAGAAACAACATGCAGATTTACACAGGAAATTACAGTTTCTCTTGCAAGCACTCCAACTCATATCTTTGCCTTACAGGGAAGCCATCATTCACTGGAATAAGTGAATTAAGAAGGAGTAGACAGAGTTCAGCTCTATGTGAACCATGCCTCCTGCAAAGGAAGTCTTGGAAATCTTGTCCCACATGCAGACAGGAGGTGTGCATCTTCCCACAGCGTGAGACAGGTTATACATAAATAAGTGCAATCGCAAACTAGGTTCTCCAATCATGCAAATCTGCGAGGAAACAAGCCACAAAACAACGGTGTAAACTGGTGATATAAACAGCTCAGATCAGTGCTTAGAGCAGTGCTTGATTTAACTCCAGTGGTTACACACAAAGCTGAAAAAGAAGCTTTCTATTCAGCCCGTGGCCAAAATCTCGTTGTTGCCAGGTTCTGCTAGGAAACAAATGTTTCAAACTACCTTTTGCTTTCAGCTAAAAAAGAAAAGATGGCGAATGCTTTATCCTGAGCGCATCCCAAGCACTAAATAAACCACAGTGAATGTGTCCACCAATTACGTCTTCATTTGGTTTTGTTCACTTAGGGTTTTTTTCTGCTACAGCATGTGTGATCTAAAGCATCATTGGAAAGGACTTGGTCTGCACAGTATTCTGCTAGACACAGAGATTTTCCCAGAGCCAGACCCTCAGTTAGTGAGATACAGCAAAGCTGTCCCACAATTAAAGAAAATAAACAAGAAGCAAGGAGTCAGCTTTGTTTTGACCCATCTTCGCATGCAGCACCAGCCAAGGTGAGGGGAAAGGGTAAACATATTTTCTTGCTCAGCTACTCCCTTTATCTCAGTTATCTTTACTCAAGTGAATTATCAGATTTATACCATCTGGGTTTCTATACTCAATTCCTGAAAAAGATTTTTTTTACACCTTGACCCATCCGTTACACTCAAACAAGAAAGTGTTGTCACAGAAATGCTGCTCAAACAGATACTATCAATCTCAATGTGATTTTTTGAATCTCTTAGGCAGGTTTATAAGTTTAACTTCTTAGCAAAACGGGAAAGTTCTTCGCAAGCCTCAGCTCTCAACCATCAAGATTTATCAGTCCTTTACATAACCTACATCTCAGGGGTATTTGTGTTTGTTTTGTTTTGTTTTAAGCCAGAGTACCAACCCAAGCCATTCAATGATGTTCATTGCAAGCCAGTAAATGATCTCATTTCATACACACATTCTCTATCTGGGTTGAAGTCCCTAAAAGGCGAGTACACCATACAATTTCCTGCAGAAGAAAACCTCTGAAGTGAGTCAGGCTGACAAGAAACTCAGATTAGACTTGGCAAAAAGTTTGCAGAGACTCAGCCAAATTGGCTGTTTCTGATTTCTAATGACACCAAAATCACATCTGAGCCACTCTAGTTTTACATATCATAATCCCAAGGAAGCAAACCTGCTCCTTCTCCAGACCGATTTCCTCACATAGTACCAATAACCAGCTGATCCACATTAAGTAAGTGCTTACTGAGATGTTATAGGTATTACATGTAACGTGGCACTGATGCAAAGCTGCTCAGCAGTTCTGCAAGAAACACCAAAAAGCCACTGCAATTATAATTCTCACTGAAAAACAAAATTGAAAAACAATGACAAAGAAATAAAAAAAAATTAATATTTGCAAAATATAATTGTTTTTAAATTAGTTCTACTTCACGTTACTCAAATATTCTCGACGTGAAAGAGGAAGCTTAAGACATGACTGAGACGTATTGCAGTTCTCTTCAGGATAAGCCTGAAAACTATGGGAAGGGTGCACTGCAGGCAAATCAATTTGAAGTTAATATTTTAAAATTTGCAGCAAAAAAAACCACCATATATCCATGCAAGTGTATTCCACTGCAACTGTGAATAAACCAACAGAAATTCAAACAGAGCTAGGCAAACATGAGAACAATCTAATTACAGATGATGATAATGATTTTAGCCTAATGGAGACAAATGAAAAATACCCACAGCCCCACTGAAAACAAGCCAAGCACACAGCTCACTGCATTCCAGTTTTGTATTTGAATTTATTAACTTACAGTACAAAAGGATTGAATTAACAGTATGCTTCATACCATCAAATAATTCCACTGGCCTAGAATGAAGCACAACAAATAATTCCTTAAACCTCAGAAAATTATCAGAAGAATTTGTCTCTGTGCTCTCAGCACTGCCTGTCACATGTTTGGGGGTGGCAAACTGACCCAATTATGATTTTGCAACTATTTTTGTACATATTATTGCTTTGTGCATTCACCTTCTTTTCCTCTGAAATTTGTACTGTTTCAGAATGGAGAAGGGAAACCTTCACATTTTGAAATCTTAAAACAGTACTTCTGTAGCTTGAGGCCTCTTGTACAGATCAGGCAAAGCATGGTGTGATCTCAGCCTCTGCCAACTTGATTTCCATAAGCTTGCTTTGTTTTCTTACTCTTTGGTTGCTCTTCTAAGTGAACACAAGAGGGCACAGCTCTTGTGCTGTCTCAGACTTTATTTGTCCTACTTGCAAACCAGTCCCCTGCACAAAGCTTGCATGTCAAAATAAGGCAAAGCAGCAGATCAGAAATATTAAAGTGCACATCATTTCACCTACTCTATTAAAGCTGAAATACGGCTGGTAAAACAACACGAGATTAATGGCAAAGATAGATCTGAGCCTGGAAAAGCAAGATGTAGCACATGTTAAAATCTCTATTTCGGGAAATCTGACTTCACTAACGTGTGAAGATCCTGAATACATAAAGCATCCTGGATAAGGAGTTTGGATAAACCTGGTAAGCACAGGGGACAAAACGAGAATGCAGGGTTCTTCACTGCGTTAAATCTTCGAAACAGAACATCACCTTGTTCAGAAAAGCACAGCAGCAGTACCTCAGCAGGCAGCCCATGCCATTTTACTGAACTAGGCAGTGCCATACATAAAGTGTCACACCTGCCTTCAGAGCAACAAAGTCCATGAATTTGCCTGCCCAAGGATGGTGCTTTTACAACACGCAGTAATGCCAGCAGGAAAAGCAGACAAATTCTGCTTTTTGACCATACTGGCATTTCATGTAAGCAAAACATTCTGTCTTCTTGGTTTAACACCACCTGTCTTCATGCGAAAGGGGAAGCCTACAGAAATCTGCTGAGAAGCCTGGATGAGAAAGATTTAACCTGAATAGCAGCTCACAAGATACACAGAAATGAAAATAGGGACTGACATCAACTCTTCACAAGAAATCTGTTCTAAAGAGGGCTACAGCATACAGGTGTGGTTAGAGCATAGATTCAGTACACATTTGGTAGATTTTTTGGGATACATCAAATCCTAAAAACAGCTTTCACTACAACACTTTATACTTCTTCAGTCATTGATCTTTGCATTCTGTTTTTCCAGAACAAATGCTTTGCTTTTCTTAATAAACTTAAAAAGCAGTAATTGGACTGGAAAAACACTCCTGTCAGGTCACTACCATCAGTGCTGCATCTGGCAGCGTGGCTCGGGTCATGGCAGGGCATAAACATAGCAGGATTCAGCATCAATATATTTGGCTGAAGGTGTTCAGGCATGTCTGAAACTCCACCTGCATCATCACACCTCAAAACCCTCTCCTGCCCTTCAAATGTCCATACCTTGTGGGCCACAAACAGCCTGCTCACTTTTCTTTAAAAGTAAAGAAAACCAGTGGGTGCTCTAACAGTCACCTAAGTGACAAAATAGCAAGAACTCCGAGTGCAGCCGGCTCAGTGGAAGAAGTTCAGAACACCTTTCACCTTCCACACAACACTCTAAGCAGCAGGATGCACAGTAGGGAAGGCAGCTCCTGGTTCACCCCAGGAACACACGCAGGCTCTGATCACCAAAACAATGGCTCCTGGCTTATGTCCATCTCCTACCTACTCTTGTTTTATAGCAGGATAAAAGAAAAGCATCTACCGTGAACTCAAGGGTGAAAAGAAAACAAATCCTTTTACATGCAGCATGAATGAAAGCAAGCATCCCTGCAGGGTGTGCTTTGAATGTCCCTGGTCACTATCTATCAACACAGCCTTCGCTATAAAGTGCTTGGTTTTTTTATAGGTCCAAAACTCCGTAAAAATGAAAAATAAATGAAATACAAGAGAGGTCTTCAAAATGAAGGGGGAAAAAGTTCTAGCACATCCAGAAAAAAGTTCATGAAAATAGAGCATTAAATGGAGGGAAGGGAATACACACATCATTAGAACAAAAACTATTTTCCTTCTTCTAAGTTACCACAAGTAGCATATAAGATTAAGTAAAATCATCTTATGAAATCAAAACTGCTTCTTAAGGATTACAAACAGAATAAGAGGGAAATATAGCCACTTGCTTTTGCCTTCTTGGTAAGGTGACAGAAATCTGTCGTATCAGCAGAATTGTTGTTTTCTTTCTATTTTCAGAAATAATCATTTCAGCAGTAGTAAGAGGCTCTAAAAGAAAGAGATCACACAGGGGGCTGCATCAGATTCTGTTCCATTCTCTGAAATGCTATATGTTACTGCACACGTGTTTGTTTTTATCTGTCAGTGTGGTTTATTGTTAGGGAAGTGTCGTATCAGCTGTCTCTTCCCTGCCATCAAAGCTACTTCATTAAAGTTAATAGTGTTTGACTTCCAGAGGATCTTTTACCAAAGTAACACACAAAACTTCTGCTCATCATTATTTTTCCAGCAGTAAAGACACCGAATGGATGCAAGATCCCCTTTATCTTAAATAATAAAAATTTGAAAAATACACTGGATTAATCCACTGCAAGCATTTAAGCATTCGACTCGTCATTTGCTAAATTACTTTTGCTGTGAGCAACCGTGCCCCAAATGTTAACAGCACACCATCAGATGGCAGACTGCACTGTAGCAACAAAAACCTGCTTTGGGTTGCAGAGGGATCCCACAGAAAGGCTCCCCTACACCTGCGTGGGTCTGCACTGCTGCCAGCTCACCACTACTGCCCAACGGGTGCAACTGCAGCCTTAACTAAAGAACGTGCAGAGAAGATAAAGCTGATTTCATCCACAATTTACGCTTGGTTTTAACTAATTATCATCTGACAAGTATTTGATAAGGCATATAATCTTAAAAGCTCCTACATTTTCAGAAACATATTCATTCCTTCCATAGCATCGCAAGCTTTGCTATTTAGGTTTACAGCTCTCCTCATCCGTATTTTCTGTAAAATCACCTGATTTCAGGAATGGAGGTGTTTCCCAAAAACATCACTGCTGACCAACAACAAAACTGGCAGCAAATGTTATTACTTTTAATCATAAAGTGCTAATTCTGTGAACATCATTCTACCAACGAAGAAATACGCATCGATGACAGAATTGCAGGAACATAACCAAACATCATAAAAATTTATGTGGGTAAGTGTTTATGTTTGAAAGCTGTTTACATAGATAAAACGCTGCTGGTTTAAATAAAAACGTGTTTGTTTTCATAAAGCCACTTAGGGACTGAGTGTACGGGTTTCAGCGTAATACACATCTATCCCATTAAAACACATAAAGACACAACACAGTCATCAGAAACTTGATGGTCATCGTTCCCCCCACGTGAAATTGCTGATTGCAACAAGGCTGAAAGTAGAGCTCTTCAGTGCACAGCATGAATCCACAATAAAAACTTCCAAAGAAGTGCAAAAGAAAGCACTTCTAGACGAAGCCCGCGGACACGAAGGCGCACAGACAGAACCCTCAGTTGCTGGCACAAGGGGGAGCAGTCGGGTAATGTTAACAGAGCTTGCGACCCTACTTAAGGTTTCAGATAGAGGTTTACCGAAGGGCTTACCGGCTGCCCCAGCCGACTGCAGACAGAGGATTCCAGAAGCAAACAAACGCACCAGCAATCATCTGCTGTGCACCAAAAGCCTGCTTCATCCAAAGCCCCTCTGTATGCATGCTCCAAAACGCAGCCCTGGCGATTTCATCACAACATTTGCAGCTGTTTCCTAAAAAGCAAGAAGAGAAATGATGCTCACAATCTGCTTGTTGTTCCCTCAAGTCACAACATCCAACTGCTTGTGGAAAGGAGGGAACTGCTATACAATTATTTATTTTTGGTGATACAGCAACACTGCAAATTAAGTAAATTACAAGGCATCAGGGTGTCATCTAAGTCTCTGTGCAGTCCTGCATTGTATTTCAACTCAAGTATTATACAAAAACAAGAACAACAACAAAGAAAAAAAAAAAAAACGACAGCAAAAAACCATTAAGTCTCAACTGTTCCTTCATTCTGAGGGAACTGGTAAGGTGCAATACACACTGAAATATACTGAAATGCATTTGTAAGTCATCAACTCTTCTAAACTCTGTTGTTTAGCTGACGAAATTGATCCTTACCAAGAAACTAGGAGAGAGATCTCCAACCCAAGTTCAGTGTCACAAGTTACTTTGATGTTCTTCCAGATTAATACAGCTGTAGCACTTCCTGTGTTACTGCAGGCATCCTGCTGTCTGGAAACCACCTTCCCAATCAGGCAGGCCTGTACTGCTGAAAACATCCACCTTCTGTCTGTGACCAGGAATCACTGTTGCTACAGTTAAACACTATTGCAAACATAAACTTTGGAATTAATGATAATGATACATTCTAAATAATAATAATTCAAACAATAATTTAAATTACAGTGGTAAATTCTCACTCCATAGTGTCAAATGCGACTTAATATAAAAACTAAAAAAATCATCAGGCAGACACACAGACTTGAAGGAATGAAGCAGAGCTCATTTCTAATCCAGATTTTCAATCAGTACTTGTGTGTATAGATAAACAAATTTGCACTACTACTGCATCCAAGAAATAAGTCTTGCTTCTCTTAGAGAGCAAATGGTAAAACATCAGACAGCAAATATTCTTACAAGTGCTTACTCTGCTTTAAAAACAACATTCTAGAAGAAATCCACACACTCAAAACCCCACCCAAATTCCACAGAAGCCAGCTTGAATCCAGTGAGAGCCTGATGGAGTAGATGGTACTGCTCACCAAGTTGGATATGATAAAAAACAAACAACCGTGAAATGCCCATCCAACTAATAAAAAAGAAAATAAGCACTTTTTTCATAGAACAGTAGAATGGTTTGAGTTGGAAGAGATCCTTAAAGGTCACCTTATCCGACATCCCCAGGGACACCTACAGCTCCATCAGTGCTCAGAGCCTGTCCCGCCTGACCTTGGGTGTCTCCAGGGATGGGGCATCCACCTCTCTGGGCAACCCGTGCCATTGCCTCTCACCACCCTTATTGTAAAAAACTTCTTCCTTATATCCAGTCCAAAAACTCTGTTTTATTTCTCCTTATTATCAGCCTGAAGTTTTTTCAGAAATTGAAAGGAGTACTCGAGCCAAACTAAACTATGACAACACCCACAAGCTCTTTCAACTCCTCAGATTTGCTGGAGTTATTTTGACCAGCTGAGAACACCATGATCACCATGAAAGAAATGCAAGGAAATCCCTTCAGCACAGCAAAGTCCGAACCGCAGGTCCAATAAATCAGCCCTCCAGTTTAATTAAAAAGAATATTTTTCGTGGAATCACTCCAAAAACACGACAGTGGGGCCATTTCCATCCCCACGGCCCCGTGCTGCCCACGTGCCAATAGCCACGCCGACGGTCTTATCCTTCAAAGGTGCATTTTAGGGAATACAGCCTTGCGTTTGACCTCTCTACATCAGGAAAATGCTATAATCTGAAGGAGAGACCTTTTATTTTAAAGGATAGCTTGTTCTAAATTGATGGTGGGCTGATACATACATAAAAATGTCCGTGTTCCAAACCAGAGGCATTTCAAGATGCGCTTTAGTACACGGTACATCAAACTGCAACAAAGATGGCTTGATGAAACCAAGATCATAAGACAGCGCTGACATCCCAGATGCGCCTACATGGAAAAACAACACTTGTTTTATCTCCACTAGATGTAAGGAAGTAGATAATGTCTGTGCTGTCACCGGATCCGAGGCCAGTTTAGCTGACAGCATGAGGCAGATCCATTGTTGAAGGAGCAGAAATTGTTAGAGAACCATGCACTATGTTGCATCCCAGTGAAAGATTTGTAGAAGCTGAGGAGAAAGCAGGTTGTGTATCACAGCAAGCTTGGCTTTCATGGAAGTATTAGCCTTGGGCCAGTTATTAAAAGGGCCTCTGGAGTGTAGTCATAAAAAGAGGGAAGGATTTCAAAGGTAACTCAGCACAACAAACAGCCGAGCAGGAACAACTCCGTGTATCTGCCAAGAGGAAGATGGCTAATGCTCAAAAATCCAAAAGGAAAAAAAAAAAAAACAAGAAAAAGCAGAAACATGATAAGAATAGAAAGGATGTTCATTTTCAAGCAGGAGATAAGAAATGGATTAAAGTTCATTCTCAGAATAGTGCAGAGAAAGATTTTATTGCTACACTAGCCCCAAACCAGAAGATTCCTTACTGAGTTATTTAAGTAATAGGGTAAATTGAACTGCTTGCTGTTCGTAAAGTGTGCTGCTGTGGGCTGTAAATCCTGGCACACTTACACTTCTGGGGATTCTGTCAGCCTTTGTTCTTCTGGAGTTTGGGTACAATTCAGCTGTTGTATTTTTTATGTTTCCCTCTCTGATTTTATCTATGTGGACATTCTATTAACCCATTATTTTTTGTTGTTTGCCTCTGGCATTCAGTTTTTAGGTCTCCCTCAAGAAAACCAAGTAACCACAAAAAGGGTGGTAACTAGTAACTAGTAGCTAAGGGTGGTAACTAGGTGTAGCTAATCCTTCACAGACAGATGATGTTCACATCTTTTCCTTTTTCTATTAAACATATGTAAATTCTATCCATGCACCTCTTGGCAGAATGATGAGCACTGGTTGGTAAGCTGGAGAAAGCGAACCTAGAGGAGGCGAGGGGCTGGAAAACAGAGATCAGTTGAAAGAAGGGGTTAGCCTGCTTCTGATCAGCACAGCACAGCCTGAAGAACTAACTGGAAAAACAGCAAAAAATGATTTCACAAAGCCTGTGTCATCAGCGAAGCGTGGAAGGGAAGAAGGACTAGGAACAACACCAGTTATGAAGGAACAAGCAAAGCTTTACCCTCGTTTAAGCGAGGGAAAGAAAGTTACTGAGGGAACATGAAAATTTTTGTGGGAATATAAGAAGTTCCTTACAGAGTTGGCAAGGAAGCAGTCTGCAAATACACATTTAGCCTTCAGATGTGATTTAGGACTCTCACAAAATGTACAGTGTGAGTGGATGGAGTCCATTATTCAAAACAGGAATGAGTATGAGTGATCTTTTGCTGGTCCTGTAATCATCATTTGACAGAAACATTGAAGGTTCACATACTGAGTTTCAGTTTCTGCTTGGTTTTGGCTTCCCCCATATCCTTGGGCAAATCACTTGATCTTGGCAGGTCTCCTTCTTGTTCTGCAGTAGGAACCTGTTGATATTTCCCTTTGCCCATTCTCTGTCCAGTCAGGCAATAAACACCTCAGAACAAGGGCAGCCTCTGCATAAAAGTGCTACAGCAGTAAAAATAATGACTTCTGAGTTTTTCAGACTGTAAACTCGTGGTTTGTTCAGGAAGAGTAACAAGGTTTGACAGACTTTGTGGCATTTTCCAAAACGTTAATGATTCCTATCTATGGGGAAAAGCCAGAATTCTACAGCAGTACACTTTCAGGCTATGAAAATATTTCTGGTTAGATACACGTGGAAAGGAATGGCAGAATTTTCAAATGTCTCTCTTGTTCTACTGCTCCTTTCGTATTTTTCTCCCACTCTCAACTTTGCTTCTTTTTCCATTTTGCCTTTTATACTTTGAATAACTTCCCATCTGCCACATGCCAAATCTCCCTTAGATCCCTCCTTAAAACCTACTTCCTTCACATAACCTACTTATGCTGATATTTTCACCACGACATCTCCATTCATTCCCCATCTGAACTATTGTCCCATAAATCATATTTGTCTTGCTTAGATTGTCAGCGCTAAACATAAAGCATGTCCCGGATATTCTAGCAGTCATTCCTAGTCTGCTGCCACATGAATGATAGCATGGTCTTGTATCAATTTCTGTACATTTCCCAGCAGGAAAGAGGAGAAAAAATAATTCAAAGAGCTTCACAACAGCCCTGAAGGCTTGTCTGTATTACACAGCTGGGAACAAACATTTCTTCCTCCTCTGAACTACAGCTCACATCATTATTAGATAACCAAAGGTTAAATGTAACTAACAAATGTTTGTTCCTATTGCACGTGACAGTTCTTTATACATATATGAGCATCTTAGTAGATACTAAAATATACCTTTCTTCTGAACATAAATCTCTCGAATGACTCAGTATCTGAACCTTAATGGAAAACGTAATTGTTAGCCCTTAGCAGTCAGCAACAAGAAATGCATTGCCTAAAATTTGACGAGAAAGATCTGTGAGCAGTTTTGAAAAAGAATTTTGTCAGGTCATGTTTAGTCAACAACTCTCTTTTTTGATTGTGAAGATTAATGTTTTTTTCCATTAAACTTATGCCAAAACTTTGACTCTCTGGAAATAAAACATTAGTTTAAAGAGCTACTCATTATCATTCGTTTTACAGTAAAAAATAAATGTAATGAATTAAGATGTAAACCATTTTGTCACACAGCAGTATGTTAAAGAAGACGTGGAAGGCGACCTGAACGCAAACAGTTTGTACATCGTTGCCAAGTTCCCAACTACTGTAATGCTTGCACAGATCCCACGGAAAGACAGGAGTTTCACTTGCTCAGACTGCTAGTTTTGGTTAGCTGTCCTCTGCAAAGGAGAAATTAGAACCTCACCTTGTACAAATGTGCTGATGACCGGCTGTCATTTTCATTACCTGCAGAACCCTCTCTGTGCATCGCCACCCACTGGCCTAACGCCGGGATGCACGCTCAGCGGGACCTTCAGGGACATCACACCCGATGTGCGAGTCAAGATTTCTCACATGCATAGGAGACCTCAGAATAAGTCCCGGTATGGGGCAACTGCAAAGGAACGGCCCCTTCTTAGAAGCACTTCTGCAGCCCGCCCGGCTGTTGCCGCCTATTGGAAGCAGCAGGTCCTGGGACAGCCGTGTAAGAAACAAAAGCTGGGAGGTTCCAAGTATTTCTGGGTACTTACAAATGGAAAGGGATTGTGTCCAGTGGCATAAATTCATGCTTGTTTGAAATCAAAATCTTATTCTAACACTGAAAATCTCTTTTAAATATCTAGATGAGAAAGGTAAAAGAATATATAATGGTAATTTATTTTTTAATAATATTAACTAGAGCATCAAAAAATCACACCAGAGATTCTTACAAATTTTGCGAATCCTTAACTTCAAATTGTCCTTTATCTCCCAGAAAATGCTGTGGTCTTCAGCTGTTTTCCTGTCATGCATTCAGTAGGATGTAACTCACATTATGCTGCAGTTAAGTTTTATTCTCTGCTTTGGTTTGTGAACCAGTACCTTGGTCACACTTGTTCTCAGACTGTAGTATTTTTACTACTAGATGTTTTTTTTCTCACAGAATATTTTAGACTCATTCTTAACCTACAGAGATCTGGAACTGGTATTCTTGGCTTCAGGGACACTAACATGACAAAGCTGGAAAAGCATTGGCAGATAATGCCTTTGCAAATGGGGACAGATATTTTGCAAAGGCTGAGAAGCTAAGGAATCTGCAGAATTCCAAAATCTCAGTGAATTTATTGCTTCTGCCATCTCTAAAATACCAATACTTTGACATGTGTCCCATTTCCCTGATTCACCAGCACTGTGAATCTTGGAAGCATTGATTCTGGTTCTGCAATATGAAATACTTTGAAAAGTTTGTCATTTTTCAGGGGAGAAATGAGTACCTTAAAAAAACATTACAATCCCTTTCAGAAAACAATGTATTTTCAAGATGCTCCTGCTTGGCTACTTAAAAATGATAGCCAGAATTTCTATTCACTGCAAATAATTCGGGCATAAAATAAAACCACCACTGGATTCTTAAAGCCAGCTGCCTTTTGCTCCATGCCAAGTTCTCATCTTTTCTCCCACCAGCTTTTCAAGCTCATTTGGATCTTAATATTTACAAGAGAGACTTTTCATGCTTTTCACATCCGAGCAGACAATAATTGCTCAGGTACATCTGTGAGAGCTCACCACCTTCATTTCAGCCTCTCATGTTATAATTCAGGAATGCACTTGAGCAAATCCATCACTTTTTAGCAGTGCGTAGACTACACAGATACTCAGCTGTTTTCTGAATGGGAATGTTTTCTTACAGATCTAGACTTGGAATATATTCAATACTTATTTTCATGCAGCACAAGAACTATATTTCATCTTTTCAGGGTTAACTGTTCCAGGAATTAAAAACAATAGGAGATGCACTGTTTATAAGTAAGTTTGCTGCATACAGCTGTAGGATCCTTTAAGGTTCCTTTAAGGAGTATTTTTACATTCCCATTTTTGAAAGTTAGACTGCACTTGAATGTATGAGTAAAAAGCAGTAATTACCTGAATGCGGGCATTAAGAAGCAGGAAACTGGGAGCTGAAAATCAGTTTTAAAGAGATCTCTTCCTGCCTCAAAGAGATGGCAGTTTGTTAGATTACATCTGAATTCTGATAGCCTGAACCCTCATAGTGACACTGCTGTTGGGAAGCTGGCACTGCTGGCTAAGTGCACAGTTGAGCCCCATCTGTGCCACACGAGGGAGATATGATTGGTTACATTTCAGAAATCAGCACACCTTTACAAAAATAACTGTCTTCGGCATCTGATGGCAGCTCCACAGCATCGTGCTGTGATTTACCCACTGGCTACAGCTAAGAGTTTTAGAACCCATACTTCCCACTACAGAATGCCAACATTCAGACTTCAGAGAAGTCAAAGTCCCTGTATGTCCAAGGCATATTATACCGACCACAACCATAATTTCTTAATTTGATAAGATCTACCTTTGTTGAAACTACTCCACATTGCCACAGGATTTCCAGGTGTCCTGTGAAGCCCAGGCTTAGTATCCCAGCAGTCTGTTTTGGCCTGCTCCATGACACAAAAAGTACTTCTGATAACTGATTAGCAATAGGTTGTTTTTATAGCAGTGGTTCTGTACACATGCCTTCCTCCAGTATCCCTTCCCTATTCCCAGAACAGAGACACTCAGAAGTCACAGATTACCATATTACATCAGAGACCCTCATTAAATCACAGCAGACACCGTTATCTTTTGTATCCATCGAGCCATGAAAGGTTACCTGAGTTACTAAAAAATTCCAGGCGTGTCTTCTTAATAAACAACAGTATAGTGATTAATTACTAAAAGAATCTGGTGCTTTAGGAGTAGCTTTAATTTGGGAAGTTTAACATACTCATTTACCAGACAACTGAACTCTCCACTTCTCACTTTCTCAGGTCACCTGCAAGTACGAAAGATTTATGTGAGCAAGAAATATTGCTACTTTTTAATGTGGTGGTGTTTTTTTAAGCAACATATCTCAGATAGAGAAGTAGCCCCACGATGCATACAAAGAAAGAGACTTTGCTTTGAGAGGATTTGGTATGAACTGGGTCACAAAGGCAATTAAAAGTCGTAAACCAGATGTATTATGTCTGTTCAATCCTTTTCATTTGTGTCAACGGGTGAAATCGTAGCATGGTACGCCCTGGTTCATTTTGTCATTTTAAAACTAGAAGCCATGTAAACAGAAAAGCAGCTCTTTTTGTGAAGGGCACTTGTATTATTCCACCGAATGATAAATTTGAAGCTGCAAATGCCTGTGCATTTTTAAGGATTCTATAGTCGCAGCCATTCAGCAGTTTGGATTCACATTAATTGCAATTCATTTTCTTCCATATCCCACAGCACCTTTGCACAGGGTGAAACTCATGTAAATAAATGACACGGTT